TTTTCGAGAACGATGGTAATGGTTAACAAGATGTGGATTCATGGCGATAAGACATAGGGCTTATTTGTTAACATTTTAATGAGTTTAATGGGACTCACATCTTATTCGATCAGTTGTACATGACTGTCTGGGAGTGACTTAATTATTCGATAGGCTTATTCAGTAAGCTTATAGGGAGAGCTTTATGCAGAAATTAGATATTTTTTCAAACATGTTCGTACACGTTCCTTCCATCTGTAAAAAAAACCCTTCAAAACAAAAAGTTTCCCAACTTATACAGACAACTTTATCCATACAAGACTTAATGAAAACCAACCAAACAGCCCGATGGAATGTTTTCAGTTTGGTAAATTTCTTCCATCCATGAAAGCAAAATTCAATTTTGTTGTCCATTTTATAGTACGTCAAATTTAAGATACAAAGTTAGGGTTTTATTGAGTGAACTTGATAATGAATTGTATGTTGCCGCTTTATTACTACAATACAACTCATTCATGCTTCTCAACGAAGTTAGATCATGAGGCATGCATCAGTTGGACTTGGTACAGTATCATGTTTTTTTCTTTAATATTGTGTACCAACTAATTATAATTGATACATAAAATCTTATACCGTACTTGCAGACTTGATTCAGAAACTTCTTTTTTGTTTACACTTTGACCACTCTGCAAAATTACGGATTTATCATTTATGAAGGTAGTGCATTTTAATTAGGGGTGCTCATGGGTTGGGTTGATCGGGTTGAAGACATTTGAACAACTCAACTCAATGCTTGCGGTTTGAAAAATCGTGACCTAACACAATCCAAACCAAAGTGCAACCCAACCCAACCCAAACCGTACGGGTTAGTCGGGTTGATACTTTGTTACATTAAAATATTTTTCTAACTTTGAATATGTTATTTCTCTATTCATAATTTGTTTTTCATCATTAACCATTTGATACAACTTATCCATATTTCTTACCTATATCACATTCAATTAATTTTCTCAATTTACATATATGTTCACAGTTACTGAACATATATACGAATAAGTTCTATAGAGATGGAGAATAAATTGAAAATAAGTATATATGAAGACCGCACGTGATAATATAATTGTCTAATATATATATTAATATAAACTCAACCATCATATTAAATCCAAGAAATAAAATGATATCGGGTTTATCTGGTTGGGTTGAGTTAAAATAATAACAACTCAATATCAACCCAATACCTATGGTCTGAAACTTTTACAACTCGATTAGACATCGTGTTGTTTCAAGTTGAGTTATTTTACATTGAGTTAGGTTGATCGGGTTGGTCAAATTTTTGAACATCTCCTAATTTTAATGATTTGAGATGTGAAATAACTATTAACTAAGAGGTGAAATCAGATATAAAAAATGGCTATTTTAAAATTTTATTTTAATTGTTAATTATTGTAATGGGTGGCATGGGGTAGAGAAGTCTCTTCAAAAGCAACGAAACCCGTTAACGTGATAAAAGTCATAAATGTATGTGGACGTATATGCATCCACATTCATTTCATTTCAACTCCCCACCTCCTTCATCATATCATTATTGCCTGTAATTTTCTAGACACAGAGAGAGAGAGAGAGAGAGAGAGAGAGATATGGAGGTGAGTTCGAGGATGAAAGAAGAAGACGACAGTTTTCATGTTCTTCGTAAAGTTCCCGCCGGCGATGGTCCATATGTTAGAGCTAAATATGCTCAGGTTCGTTTAATTTCTCCATTGAATTCATTGTACCGATCGATCTGCAAATTATCACACATCATATAATTCTACTTGTAATTAGCTGCTCAATCGAATGTTTCTGCAGATTCGAATGGTTATTAATTCAATTATTCGATTGAAATGCTTTGACTAATTTGCTTTCTAGTTTCTAGTTCAAACTAATCGAGTTGAGATTTTCTGAAACGATCAAATGTTGAATTGAACTTGAGGAGATTCATCGTTCGTTTCTGAAAAACCGTTTGTTTTCAAATCACGAGTTTTATTAAGATCCGGCAGTTTATCTGTTAATTCTAATTATGGATCTGTACATTCGTTCTTATTCTCAAATCTCACTAATTAATCAGTATTTGCAACCCTAATGTTATCGTTCTTCGTTAATTTCTGGCCTTGTGATTATGTTTTTACATTAATATACATACATATATATATATATATATATATATGTCTGTGTGTGTGTGTGTCCGAACTATGAATTTATGATATGAACACATAGTGTAGGGATTATCATCAAATATGTACCAACAGATGGTAAAAAGTACGAATATGTTTCTTCGAAGTGTTTTCCAAAAAGAGTTGCAGTAGATGGGAAGCATTTTGTGTGTCTTTTTTCTTGTGTTTTTGTGTGTGTGAGCATATGACATATACGATGAGAACGAATTGAACCAATATAAGATTTAAGGGCTGTTTASAAAACAYTTACCCGGTAAKTGCTTAYCGGTAAATTTAACACTATCATTTACTTATCGAATAAGATTTTAGTCCACCAAAACGKTATCGTATGCAACAATTTACCCGGTAAGCSCTTACCGTRGTAARATGYGTTGCTTTCACTTACCGGGTAAGACTCTTGGTTCTTGTCTCRCTCATACCRGGTAAGATTCTTGATTCTTACCATATTCATCCAGTAAGATAAA